TGTGGAGTAAAAGTCCTGCTGGGTTTACCAAATTCTTCCAAATAGACTGACCTGTTATTTCTAGTTTAAAAGTTGCATTTCAATATTTTTGTAACAAAAATATTCTGTATTTTCAGCATTATACTCTGTTTTATATAAAGTTTTTATTACACAGAAGTCAAAAAAAGTCTGAAGTCTAAGTAAAATGAACAGAAAACAATACTCTTATAGACTACATAAACTGGAAGGAGGTAGCTGAGGTTCATCTTTTTCCTAGATACACTTAGAATGGCAGATGTGACAGGTAACACTAGATGAGGCTTTATACGACAGCTAGTCACATTGTCATTGTCTCCTTTCTATTTTTATTCACAGATTACAGAGGAAATTAAAGTTTAATGATCCAGACTGCATTCTGTCAGTAGAAGTAAGTACGGTTTCAAATGTTTTGAATGTCAGTGTTGGAATTAACCAGCTTTACTGAGTGAGCAAGACTAAAAAACTTTCAGCACTCTTTGATAAATGGGTTTGAAAAATATTAGATACATAAATAGATGATTCCCCATGAAATACTTCCATATTGAATAAGATCTGATCGATATGCTACAGAGTTCTTTGATGATGCTGGACCACTTTCTTCCATTTTATACATACAAACAAACAAACTTCCTTGGTTAGAATTTTCATTTCCTTTATTCTACTATTACTTCTGGGGTTTTGGGATGGGAGGGGGGGGTGTTTCATTTTTAAAATTAATTTTGGCTCTGTCCTTTAAATTTCTTCATTTTATTCTATGACAATTATAGAGCTCAGAGTTACAGAAATAAATGGCAATGAAATTTCTCACCTCTTGAATGATTAATAAGAGCTGTAACGTCCACGTTTTTGTTTAGAGGAGTATAAAATGGTAGAAGCATTAAAATTTTAGAACAAGTTAAAAGAAAAACAGCTAATGACTTTTAAAGAGAGTTGATTTTCAAGTCATATGAACAAGCAAACATTGAGAATATTAAAGCTGATACAGCAAAGACAAGGTCTACTTTCTACGCTGCAGCCCCTGTGTGAATACAATGTCTTTTTGTTGGAGCAAGTCTACATTGAAGAAAAACTGAATTCCTAAGGGAGTTTTAAATTATAATAAAAGTTAAGGACTTTGAAAAGATCAAAGTTGAGACTCATTAAAATATTTAATTGCTTTTAAATCTGGCTCAGTAAGTCGTGACCAAAAGTTGTTATAATTTGGGGGTTGTTCAGTAGCACATGCTGAAATTACTCTAAGTCAATTTCCTAATCAGGTGTCAACATAAAAAGACACCATTACATCTAATACCACTGTTGGCAAGGTCAACAGCCAGAGCAGAGGCTAAACAAATACGGAAAATGTACCACCTTCCTCTAAGGACTAGGGTGAGTCTTTATAAACAGGTATTTTGGAGACTGTTATGCCACACTCATTTATTCTAAGAGTTAACTGAAGAATTCAGTTCTCACTCCTATTAAGAGAACTAAATTAAAGTATGGGAGAAGAAGAAGAAGAAAAATTAATTGCACTCTTTGCAGTGTTGGAGTTTTTCCTGAATGATTCTTCACATTCTTTTACGATTTTCAGTTATTGTTTGTTTCCACTTTCAAATGGAAATCATCAAGTCAGTTATACAGTTCTTTCAAAATACTGAAACTCTAGGAAAGAAAACTACCCAATTTTAGTTCTCTCATGTAAAACATACTGAAAACATTTTAGAAGGGTGCATCTGGGATTATGAAAATACATATGTAAAAATGTAATAGGCTACCAGTGAAAAAAAAAATCATAATTTAAGAAAATTTTCAAACAGTACAAGAGACATAGGCCACTCCTCTTACAGCTGACAAATTTCATACATATATAACAACACAGAAGCTTCTGGAAGTCAGTGTTTATTTAGCCTGTACTGCATCTCCAACAACTGTCAACACTGGATGTTTCAAACACAGCATTGAAACCCACACAACATTGGTTTATTATGAAATACTGTTCCTACTCTGATTGGAGCTAAATTTTCATTCCAAACTTAACTTGCTTCACAATGGTCCCCTTGTGGCATGAGGCATTATTAGAGGTAGCACTGATTATTCACCTCTGCCCTGAAACGTTAAGAAGTCAAAAGAACTTTGAATTTTTATCAGTCTGTCACACATTACTGAAGATATTAGGAAAAAAAAGGACACAAAACCAGAACAATTCCTTGCTCTTCCCAGCAAAGACACACACCAGATTGAACAGAGTAAGTAGCCAGAGAAGAAACTCAGTAAACACATTTTTGTGGTCAGACACAATGATGCTGGGAAGATTAAAATCACACTGTTCAAAAAGGGAAGGAAGCCTGCTCGCATGGGACACTATGGCTGACATTAAAAGAACTCAAGTTTATGTAGACAGGAAAGTATTTTGTGTTGAACAACAGAAGTGTGGACATTTTGCCTAATTCAGCAATAGTGGCACAACCACTGGTTAGTTTTATATGGGAACAGAAAAATGAGGCCATCCCTTCTGTATGAAAAGAGCCAAGTGGAAAAAAAGATGACCCAAAACATAGCACTATTATGATACGCACTTCCAAAACACATTATTCCCCCGAGTGAAAAAATTAAGTGGCTTTTAGAGAATATTTTCTACTGCACAATTTTTAAAGCTTTGCAAACATTAGGACTTCCTCGTTTTCTGTCTGCAGTGTACAAATATACAGCTGGAGCTGGGGAGTTGCCAGTGGCCTCTCTTGCATATCTCCTCCCTCTCCTTTTAAGTGATCTCTCTCACAAACCAACTTGAATACAGAGATAGACTCTTACCTCTGCAGTTCTTTCCCTCTGTAAATATGCACATAAAATTCCACCTTTAAGATTCGCTACAAATAAATTATTGCCACAAAGATCAAGAAGGTTTTGTGCATGAAAAGCTACACAAGTACAACAATTCAAGTAAGAAAATAGGAAATAAAAAATAAAAGGAAGTTAAAATATAATTGTACGGATAACCATCAAATATGTTGAGTGAGAAGACGACAACTTTTTTGGTATGTTCTACAAATCTCACCTAGAATCTACTCCTTTACCAATTGCCAAGGTGTTATGTGCATGAGAGCTGCAATTTCCACGTACAAAAAAATTTTCAAGGCAGAAAGAACCATCAGACAACACTTCTCTGACTAAAGGGAGTCTGAGTTAAGTCAAATTCTACTCACCGCAGTTAAATGTTCCAGTAAGTATGCCACATCAACCATGTCCGCCAGAATTAGAAGCCTTGTGACAGCTGTAAGCAGAGATCGTGCTGCTTGGACAACAGCCTGCCTCTTAGGCAGATAGCAGGGATCACTGGTAAATGCCTCTGCTGATACCTTTAAGGCTTGACCTGCAAAATGAAGACATAAATTCCCTTAGGCTATATTGCAACAACCAGGAAAAAGAATACTTAAAACTCAATCAGTTATTTGGCAAGTCACAAGTATTGCCAATAAATTTGGCATCTCTGTTGCCCTAATGCCTTGAAATGAAGGTCAGTTATTACAGATCATGCAGAATGTTCCACAGTTTGAATAATGTCCCCCTTCTGTTCTTCGGAATCATTTAATTCTGAAACAATTCCCTTGGCAATCACACCATTACTCTTAGCTGTACACAATGAGGCCAGCAGCTCTATGTTAAACTTTGCTAGTCACTGCTTTTTGTATTACTATGTACTCTGCTGTCCTTGCTATTAAATAATTCCTGATCACAGAAGGGAATCAAATATTGTTCTTCTCATTATAAATATAAGTTAATGGAATGAAAATCTCATACACTCGAACATCTGACTCTGACATAAAATATGTGAAATCTATGCAATGGAGCTAGTAATTGTGCCAGTAGACAAAAATGCACTGCTCTCCAACATGAAGTTTTGCAAAATAAGAACGACGATGACAAACAGCCAAGTTTACTTTCAGCAGTCTGTCACCTAGACTTACTCTGAGAAAAAAATGTCATTAAACTAATTTCTAAAAGCATTTCGAAGTCTATTATCACCTGAGGAGCTTTGCTAGTGATTGCACAACCTAGAGAGAACTCACTCTACACAGAACAGCACTGGAAAACTTTTGTCGCACAAACTGCTAAAATAAATGTTTGACCCACTAAACTCTCTGTATCAGCTTGGAAACCAAAGATGGATCAAAAGTCACAAAAGTGTATAGTTTTGGCTGTGCTAAAATTCAGAAACATCATTAGTAAATGTAGCTATTAAAAGACTACACATTCTTAAAGCCAGCCCTTTGTTGACAACTGCCTTAAGCATGTCCTGGATTTTGGATGCAACAGTAAAGAAAAATACGGCATTCAAAAAATTTGATATTGCTCCAGAGTTACATCCTTTATTATGCAATATTCTTTCTACCTATATCTAAATTACCTAAGTCTTGGTATAAGAATAGGGTACATTTCTCCAAGCAGTCATTTGTATCACAGAGGGTTTCTACATAGAGAGAGTGCAGGAACATGTGATTTTTTGTTTCATTTTGTTCTACAAATTCTGACCGAAAGTAAGGAAAGGATATTGCCTTCTGAAATAAAATTCACAGTACCCTTAGCACTGTATAGCTTCACTCAAAGGCAAGAAGTCTGGACAGGCCTCATGCAGGAACGCTATTGGCATGTCTACTTCAGACTATCTGGCAGTAAAGACAAAGCTGAAGTCATGCAAAGAGTTTTGCTACCTGAACCAAGTATGTGTTTTTATAAGCTTTGGAGTCCTCAAATCAAAAAATAGGCAACAAGGTTTGTACAAAATACATACAATCAGTAATTAATGTATATTTATAGAAATACATACAAACATAAGGGATATCCTGTAATTGCATAGATACAGACTTTTATGAGCTCCCTCAATCAGAGTTGAGTGAGAACTAGTCAAGAGCACCAGAGTTTGCCAGACTGGTTCTATAGGTGACTTCATTTCTCAAGATTCAGAGGAAAAACAAGTTTTACTGCTCTTACTAGAAACTGCATTTGAGAAAAATATTGAGCAAAGGCTACAGAAATAAACCTACCAATTACTACAGAGCCCCCATACTAGCACCTGACATAGTACTGGCCTGGTTCTCAGAATACTGAATGCTTCCAGCATGCTGAAACTCATCAGTTTTCCAGGAATACCCATCTTGACTTGCGCGCTCTGGTTTCCTCTTGGATTGTTAAAGTCTTTGTGCAAACTGTGTATCTTAAGTACATGCTTAGCAAAGTCCATAAATAAATAAAGATCACACTAATTTGAGATCTGGTTCTAACACCTGCTACGTCACAAAACAGTGAAAGTGAAAAAAACCCATCAGTTTCTTGTGCTCAGGACAGCAAATTAGAACTTCTCTCTAGCAGTCGGTGAGACAATGTATCATAGGTGAGCACATCACAACAAATAAAACTACAGGAAATAAAAATCAAATATTAATCAGAACCACAGGTTTTTTATTTCCCCATCTGCAATGGACAGAAACACCTCTCCAGATGAGTACTGTTTTCAGTACTGGAAGAAGTTTCAAAGCACTGATTTGAGCCTAGTAATCCTGGATGGGGAGGGAGTAAACGGAGAGAGAAAATCCTACTTACATGCATACATATCTTTAGATATATTTTTGAAGGTGACTACTACAAATGCTAATAAATTAATAGCAATTTGGGAAGTTTTAGTAGGAATTTAAGATACTAACTCTGGAAATTCATTGTGCCTTAATAAGACATGGGAAATACAGTGCATACACACTATCATAAAACTAAAATCCTTGCCCTTTCACTTCTCTTATGACTTCAAATTGAAAGAAAACTTTCCAAATTCTGAGAACAAGCAATGTCAGTGAATAACCTGACAAACTGTCTCCATTTTATTTCATAGTATTTAACTACCATCTGTCCTGCCAATTACTGGTTTTGAATATCTTACATTTGACATGTTATCTTTCAGGCTGTAAAAGTTAACACTACATGTTTTTTATGTATTTGGAATTGTACACTGTAGTATTAATTCAGGCCATTATAACTGTCACATTCTTAAAAACATTTGCACAAAACTAGGAAGCTGATACGTGCAATGTCTTAATAAGACAAGAAAGCATGAAACAATGGAAATTTTTTCTGTGATTAAGATGTATGAGTGTAGAGCTGTCCACCTTCGTCCCTCAGGATTGATTCATTTTAACATATACTGACTAAAGCATCAGGGAGATGCTGTTTCCCAAGACAATAAAATTATCATCATCACTGTTTGACTGGCTACCTGGTAACTTTCGACCTTTCTGACCAACTTCAATAAAATTTTTACACAGGGGAAGATATTTAAAGTTAGCTAACTACTCTTCCATGAAAACAGGAAATCAGGAAAGAGAGCAAGTTAAAGCCCTCGCTGATGGCAAGCTGGGGCTGGCAGTAAAAGCTCACCTACTGCTAAGCTTCAAAGAGTCTACTGAAGTGTTGAGATGCAAATTTGAAGGAAGACAGGCTCTCCTTGTTCCACTATTTATAGACTGACTTTTTTTTTTTTTAGACATACAGAACAAGTGTTTATAAGGAGAGGAAGAAAACAACATGCAGTATTCTACTACCTGTTATTTATTAGCATTTACTTACAAGGTAAGCAAACAGACCACATCCACTACTATTTTTGCAGTGTCTTGTGCCATCCAAGCAAAGGCAAAGCAGCTATTAACTTATTTTAACTCAGCACTTTAAGCCAGAATTACAAATAGGTTTGTAGCCCAAGACAAATGCAGCCTGTCAACCTCACATACTTCCCAAGATAAAAGGATAAGTAGCAAGTCAACTTGGTGACCTTTGGGGAACTTAAAACTTCTTAGGTACAGAATCAGCTGTGGTTCAGAAGAACTTCTGTTGAAAACTAGTTAAGTCTGGAGAAACTGAGAAGAGAATTAATGCAGGGAAGGCAATAAGAAAAGAAAATAGAACTGGTTACTTTGAGAGGAAAATCAAGGGTCGGGGGGGGGGATCAACCAAGCAGAGGAAGACTATGTGGAATCCTCAGTCCTGTGTTTCAGCTCTCTGTGATCCAAGGCCTAGTTTGGTGTAGTAGAACTGCGTGACCTTAGCTGAGAAAATTTTTGGTAAGGTGCAAGAAAGTATGTTAGCTAACATCACATAGGGTAAGTAAAAACACAGACGGAAATGGAGTTGTAGAGAGACTAGTAATGAGCAGTCAAAGAATCTAAGAGGAAATAATACTGACATGAAAAGTTATACAACTTAGGCAAAAAGACCCAGGAACTTGCAAGACAACAACTCTGCAAAACTGAGCCACAGTTCCAAAGGAACAAAAGAGGCCAACATTTTCCCACATGACTGACAGCTGTCTGGCCAGCATTACTAGGGGTAACAAATACATGAACACTTTGCTCAGTCAGTCATTAGCCTTAGCTATCTATGGTATGCATTAGCCACTAACCAACTACTTTTTATTTTTCAAGTTCTGTATATCCTGCTAGAGTCTCTTTGTGCACACTAAAAAATGTTCAAACAAAACTGACCAGGAAAGCAGAGCTACAGATTAGAAAGGAACTGGCTGGTTAGGAAGGAGTAAAAGTACTCAATTGTGAGAAGCCCAGACAGGAGTGAACTGTGAGCCTATGAGTTAGTAACTGAATGGATCAGGAGAGAAGTGAAATATACTTTAGCTGAGGATAGGAGACAGCGCTATTACCAGGAATATTTAATAAAAGTTGGGAGGAAAAAAAAAAGAAAAAAGGTCTTCTGACAGCACTGCTGCTCCTCAGAAACCTCTAATGTAATGTTTCCCCCATCCACAAACACAAGGCTGAACTGCATGTTCACAGGCCCCACGTGATTATTTGCCCAGGTCTCTGCTATTGCGCCTTCCAGAAGGGAACAGCCGTATGGATTTGGGTGTCCTTCAAGCACCTCAGACACTTCAAAACATCCAACAGTCCTAAAATCTGAAGATGGTACCATTTCAACACTGATACCTTCTGGGTACTTGAGCCACAAAGATGATTAAGGGACTAGAGCACCTCTCATATGAGAAAAGGCCGAGAGCTGGGACTGTTCAGGCTAGAGAAGAGAAAGCTCAGAGGGACCTAATCAGTATTTCTAAACACCTGAAGGGAGGATGCAGAGAAGACAGAGCCAGACTCTTTTTATCGGTGCCCAGTGACAGGCTCAGAGGCAATGGGCACAAACTGACACACAGGAGGTTCCATCTAAACATCAGAAAACATTTTTCTCACTGTGGGACTGACTTAGCAGTGGCACAGGCTGACCAGGATGGTTGTGGAGTCTCCATCCTTGGAGATATTCAAAAGCTGACTGGACACGGTCCTGGGCAGACTGGTGGACCTGCCGGAGCCAAGGGATTGG